AGCACCGACGTTAAATCTAAACAGGAAGCATCCCACAGGACGTGGGTGGGCTTGAGAACAGCCAGACCACAGCTCCCTCCCCTTTAACTGGTGTCCTTAAGAGGTTGCAACCAGAAGAGACCACTCTGGGCTGGGGAGAAATGTCAGCATGGGAACCAGGCACTGGTCCCAAATCCTCCACTCCAGCAAGAGCCCAGAACTGCGTCTGATCCTAAGAGACAGCCATGTGCCCTCCCTAAAAACTAACAGCAGTTCTCCTGGTCCTGCTAGAAGAAACCTACTACCAGCCGGCGTGTGGGAGTGGGGGCTGAGGCTCGGGGTGAGGAACCTGGCCCAGGGCACACAGCTGTCAGAGGCCTGGCCAGCCTCCAGCCCCGCTGTGCTGTGTCCAGAGCTCTATCCTCTGCTTCACCCTGCGGCGTGTTCTCTGAGGGACACCGTGTCCGGATCCCCAGGCTTGTCCCCGCCCTCACCTGCCGGGGGAGCCAAGGAGGGCCGCCCTATGGGGCTCATGAGGACTGAGTGGGAGCTTGTCCTGCCCCAGCAGGCGCCTGATGCGTGGTGGGCTCCCAGTCGTGGGCACTCACCCACGCCGCGCTCCAGGATTCAGTCATGACAGTGAACTCCGTCCCTCCTCCTCAGGGTCACTCAGAGGATCAGAGGGTGAGGAGATGTGTGAGAGAACATTGTGTCGCTGTATATACAAGGCAGTGTTGCAGTGTTTCCTCCTCTATTACTACCTGCTGGGGGACCCCAAACCTTCACGTCTCCCTCTTCCTGGCTCTTGTCACCACAGCCTTTGCGTTCAGCCCAGCGTGCATTTCCTGTGTCCACCGACACACAGGCTGCATGGATCCGAAACCAGTTTGTTCTCATCAGCCTCTCCCCACCCACCCGGCCAGTGCCCACTGTGCCGTGGTTCCTGGGAGTCTCGTCGTCCGACCCTTGTCACCAGTGCTGCTCGTGACGCTGCTCCTCAGAAGCCTCTTGTGGCCCCTCAGCCATACGCCTGGTTGAGAAGGGTCTCTCACCTGCCCTGCCCCTGCCCCCCCACCTGCCAGCCTTTCAGTAGCGTCTCTGGTACTTGTTGGCGCTTACCAGTGCCACAGCAGTCACAGACTGCTCTTGGTGAGTGCAGGTCCCTTTTCCATGTTGTTGCCAACCTCCACCCTGCACCCCACTCTCCTCTTTATCTAAGTGTCTTTATATCTCCTGTTTCGGTTAGGGTTCTGTTGAGTTGCATGCAAGAGAAATCTGGCAAACAGTTTAACTTTTTCCCCTAACACGTAGTCTAGAGGTAGGCATTCCAGGGCTAGTCCAGCAGCTCCTTCTAACTTCTGTCTTCCATGCTCCGAAGGTAGCTACTACGCCTCTAGGCATAGTATTCCTGTTCCAGGTGGGAAGACAGGAAGGGCGGAAGTTTGTCTCTCTCAACAGGAAAGAATAGCTTTTTCAGAAGCCCCTCTCAATAGATTTCTGTTTACATATTGTTGGTCAGAATTATGCCACGTGAACACCGTAGCTACGAGAGAGCTTGGGAAATCGCTAGCTGGGCACATTGCTAATCCGAACACTAGGACTCGGTAGGGAAGAAGGGGAATGGGATTGGAGAGACTGGGAGTGGCTGCCCTTGCAGAGACAGCCATGTGGCAGGACGGCGCCTCTGACCATTTCCTGTGCTCTAGTCTGGTGATTCCCAAGTTTAACACCCGGGGGTGAGCGATCAGGGATCGATCCTTGAGGAACTGATTTACACTAAAACTCTCCAGTCCCTGCAGTGCAGTGTAAATGAGTGAAGTGGCTACAACCAGTAGTGGAGATGATGGCAGTGGCCACAAGTGGACGGCCATTGCTCGGCCTGGGGGTGGTGCCAGGGGCATGCAGGTGCCCAGTGGCCCGGTCTGCCCAATTTTCAAGAGAAGCCAGAAAGCCAGGTTTGTTTAAGCTTTGTTTTTTAAACTCTATTTTGAAAAAAGATGAGTGTTACACAAAAGTTGCAGAGTCCCCACACACCCTTCACCCGGCTAACATTAGCGTCTCACGTAAATGAGCACCGGCAGGTGCTGTTAACAAAGCTAAACAGACTATTCGGAACTTACCAGTGATTCCACGACTGTCCTCCTTTCTGCTGCGGGATCCGGTCTGGGATCCCGCGGTGCATGTAGTCACGTCTTTGCAGTCTGCTCTGCTGTCTGTGAGGCGTTCGCAGTCAGAAAGCTCGAGTTTTGCGTGGCCTTCCCTACGTGTTCCCACCCTACTGCAATAATTTGGAAATTATACGTTCTGCCTATGGTATCTTGGTCATTACCTTTGAATTTTTTCCATATGCATATTTGACTGAAGTGAATAAAGTTAATTAGCATCTCAGGCCATCTTCAGAAAAATACAGGGACCTGAACAGTTGAACGCTCATCACTCCCTCTCATCTTCCACATTGTTGTTTGTGAGTTTTGCTTTTTTATTTTATTCCAGTTGAAATCATTTTTAGAAGAGCTAACATTCCTGTAGCTCAACTTTTAAAAGGTGTAAAAGATATAGTGAAAATAATCTCTCTCCCATAGTGACCCAGATACTCAGTCCCCTCCTCAGAGGCACCTGGTGTCCCCAGGTTCTCTTGTGGCCTTCCAGAGCTGTCTCACACATATACAGGCAAATACAGCTTCAGTACGTCTTTTTAGCTCTTCATCCTGCAAATAGTTCTCTTCACTTATCAATATATCTTAGAAGTACTTCTATCAGTTTGTAAACTACTTCATTCTTCTCTGTTGCTACATACAATTCCATGTTATCATATATTTATTTTAAAAGTCCCCTGTTAATGGGCATTTAGCTTATTCTCCACCTCTTACAGTCAAATAATACTGTAATTAATAACCTTGTACTAATACTTCATCATCTTGCTTGTGTAGAAGTATAGATGTAGGATACAACCTGGAAGTAGTATTTCTGGGTCAAAGGATACGTGCACTTGTGATTTAGATAGATCGGCTAAATTTCCCTCTGTAGGGACTGTTCCAATTTACCTTCCTACCAGGGATGTGCGAGAATATATTTCTCTGCATGCTCAGCAACAATGTGTTAGCTAGCATCTGTTTTTAATCTGATTATAAAAAGGTATTTCAATGTTGTTTTACTTTGCATTGCTCTTTTTTATGGGTAATGTTAAACATCTTTTTATATGTTTAAGAGGCAAATTTATACCTTTTCTATGAACTGTTCATATCAGGGGCCCATTTTTCTATTGGACTGCTAGTCTTTTCTTACTAATTTGTAGAAACGATTTTAGAGAAATTAGCCCTAAATTGTCTGATGAGAGTTGCAAATATTTTTCTCAGCTTGTCTTTTTTTTCTTATGGTTCTTAACATGTAGAAAGATTATATTTTTATGTAATCAAACTTATTAAATTTTTTCTTTAAGAGACAGAGTCTCGCTCTGTCACCCAGGCTAGAGTACAGTGGCATGATCATAGCTCATTGCAACCTTGAATTCCTGGCCTCAAGCGATCTCCCAAGTAGCTGGGATTATAGACATGTGCCATGGCACCTGCCTCCCAGATGATTTATTTTTTCCTCCTTTAACATGTTGCTCTCTCCTTCAGTGAACTGCATCCCTTCCTGTGGCTATCACATCCAGAAGAATTCCTCCCAAATCTACATCTGGGGCTCCCTAGCTTTCTATCTCTTAGACTCTAGGACTGAATTTCCAAACTGCCTTTAGGAGACCAACTAGGACGGAAGGGAGTTAAAATGTGTTGAGAGGGAATGGTTTACTACCAGTTGAAAGTTGCTTTGCTGTGGAACAGTGGTTCTCAAGCTTGGCTGCACCTTGCAATCACCAGAGGAATTAAAAAATAAAAACCCCAGTGCCCAGGCTGCTCCCCAAACCAATCAAATGAGACTCTCTGGGGATGGGCCCAGACATCTGTATTTTTTTAAAAACCCCAGTGATTCCGACATCCGGCCAAGTTGGCAGCCCTAGAGAAGGGGCAGAGAGGAAGGAGTCTCATCACTCCCAGGCTTTGGTGAGTGGGTGCGTGGGTGGTGGTGGGGTTACTGGAGTAGGGATTACCAGAGGAAGAGCACGTTTGGGAGAAGATGGTGGGTTCTGTTGGACAGCTCGAGTTTGAGCTGCCTGTGGGATATCCAGGAGAAGGGGTCCCACAGATGCTCAGATCTCCCTAAAGCAGACCTTTTCTTCCACAATCCTTCCCAATCCTTCTACAAGGCCCGTATTGCTGCGGGCATCTCCCTGCTGTTTCCCATAGCACCTCATGATCTTACCATCTCTGACTGTGGCATTAGTGGACAATGTTTTACTTGCTGGAGGTTGGAACTGCCTTCCCTTGTATGATGTGGACATGGGGTCACCACCCAATAACCCACCTTGGAAGATTCCAGGACAAAGCACATCTCCCCTTGCCTGATGGCTCTGCCATTGATTGCAGATCTGCTGTCAATGTGAGCCAAGCACAGCTAGGGTCCATGTCTTTTTCCACACCCAACACAGGAAGAATGGGACCCACCCTCTTCAAGAACAGTGGCCCAGGAGAGCTGTGATTCTTGGGCCTGAGTGCTGGTCGGGACAGGGTGGAGGTTGGGAGGCACGGTGCATATCTGGATCTCCAAGGGGGCTGGAGAGTTGGGAAAAGCCACTCAAGTCATTCTGACGTGGCTTCTGGAGACTCAGGGAGGCTCAAAGAACAGGATGCAGCAGAGGAGGCAGGGAAAGGTGGCACAGCAGTGTGTCACCCTCTCTGGCTAATGGAGCCTGCTCTGAACCCCACAAACCCGTCACAAGAGCCAGGTGGGCATAGGCAGAAGGGCAGGTGATTTGTGATACAAGGAGAAGGGACAATGTAGTAGCACAGCAGGGACTGAGGAAGGAGCAAGAGCAGAGGAACCCCTTCCACGGTGATAGCCCCCAAGTGTACCCCACTCCTGCCACCCTCTCTCCCTTGTTACCGCCTCCCCCAACTTCTTCCTGTCTTCCCTCTGTCCAGGCTGATTGGAACCGCCCTGTAGAGGTCCCTCTGCGTTCAGACCCAGATGATGCCAGAGCTATGACCGGGCCTGCAGGCGTGGCGCCGAGGGGAGATCAGCCATGGAGCAGCCACAGGAGGAGGCCCCTGAGGTCCGGGAAGAGGAGGAGAAAGAGGAAGTGGCAGAGGCAGAAGGAGCCCCAGAGCTCAATGGGGGACCAGAGCATACACTTCCTTCCAGCAGCTACACAGGTGAGAAGGGGCAGAGGAGGCCGAGCTGGGTGGAACTGGGATCCTGCCCCTCTGCGAGCAGCAGCATGTGGAGTGCAGAGTGGTTAAGGACTGGAGCCAGGCAGCCACTCATCAGCTGCAGGGCCTTGGGCAAGTTGCACCTCTTCTTTCTGTAACGCAGGCTGGGATAGTAGGTGACATGGATGTGGGCTTCGTGAGAAGTGAATGAGTGGACATTTGGAATGCATGTTGTCTTCATCATTGTGATTGCCACACTGCTGTCACAAGGCATCCGGAGCCAATCTGCACTGACAGCACTCTGGAAAGATCAGCTGTGCCTGTGATTGTTAGGTCAGTTGAAACACACAGCTCAGTTGATCTGGTGCGAATTATACACGTCATTATTGAGCTGCATTGTAATTAGGTAGAAACGCTAAATAGTTAGTATGAACATAATTAATATGACTTTTGCGCAGCCAAACAGCTTGAGTAGTCTCACTTTTTGGCTCTACTTTGTCTGCCGTCAGCAGCAGTATAGACAGTTCTCTCTGGTACCCCATACTGCTGTGTCCACTTTCGGGGCACCTAGAACGCCCCCTCTACCCTGGCTTTTCATGCTGCTAATGCTGCCCTTCCCTGCTCTCCGTCCATGCACTCAGCTTCTCCCCTTCTCCCTCCACTTCTCTCCAAACCTGGGGGCCGCAGGACCAGCACATCTGCTGATCCTCGCTCCCTTCCCTCAGAGGGAACTCAGGGTCACGAGAGGACGTACTGCCAGGAGTACACACCCTGATCTTGCTGCTGGTGTCAGCTGAAGGAAAGAGACGCAGGCCACAGGTGGTAATTCAGGGCGGAGATGGGCTCTGGAACCCTGTGTCTGCATGGGGCAAAAGGAGGCAGTGGCGTCCGAGTTAAGGCAGGGTGGAGGATGTGGAGGTAGCTCGGCGCCTGCCTGGGTCTGCAGCTAAGAGGGGCCTGAATGAATTCTTGAGCCGCATCACCTTGAACCTGCAAAGCAAGGCCTGGGATTTTGCAGAGGTTCTTCTCTTCAGGAGAAGGGGTGGAATAGGGGAGGAAAAGTCATCCATCCGGTCCTTCTGATCCCACTGAGACACGCAGGAATGACTGAAGTAGAATTGGTGTGATCCAGGGCCAAAGCAAAGGTGTCCCCCATCCCCAGAATAAGCTACTCCCTGTAGGCTGGTGGCTCAGCAGAGAGGAATGGCTGACCAGCAGTGGTAATTCACTCAGTGCTAATACCACATACTGTTCTGAACCTGAGGAAGGCAAGGAGGGTTAGAAAGCACAGGGGAAGACACCTGGTTCTAAGAATGAGCACGAGATGTCACAGGACGCCAAGACAGAATGAGTGGGGAAAAGAAGGCCACAGCGCCTGCCCTAGCCCACCTCATCCCCACATCTGGGCCTTGGCAGATAGAAGTCACCTGCAGAGCGCCGTCCTGTCCTGGGGTTCCCACACACCCCTTGTCGGGACCAATGCTGTATGCCCAAGTCGCACTGCTGTTCCCGTGCAGGCCACGGTGTGGTGCCCGGGAGCAGAGGCAGGGGTAGGCAGGCATGACGATGACACCTCAGGCAGCTTTATCGGTGGAACTTAGGGCATGGGTTGGGGGTGGGGGCAGTGTCCAGGGCAGAATTTGTCTAGCCACTCACACAGTGCCGGGTATGAGGTGGTGTTTCATAGATTCCGTTTATCAGTGAATGGATGAAATGGAGGTAGAAGGACTTCCTTGTTCAGTAATTGAAATAGGACTGTTGAACGTAATCACTATGTGTTAAAGCCGTAGTATGTAAGGAGTCCCCACAAATTCTGCAAGACAAGCCGCCTAACAGAAAAATCTACACAGTTCACAGTAGGACAGATACAAATGGCCAGGTAATACAGCAGGCTTCTCAGTCTAACCTGGAGTTCAGAGAGGGCGTCTCAAGATGCATTGTCCTTTCCCCTGTCAGACCGGCAGAGAGGACCACGTGGTCATTGTTGGCCAGAGACGAGGACTTGGTCCTCCCACCAGCCAGGGTGGAAGGGCAGCGCCAACCGACACTTCTTAGTGTGCGTGGTTCATACCCTGCAGCTCCACTCCTGGGACCGTGTCCTGTGTAAATACTGGCTCGGCATGCACAGAGATTTCCGCACCAGCTCGTTACCGCAGCACTGCTCGTAAGAGCAAAAAATAGGAAAGCGCCCGCCCGTGGGAGCTGGCTATGTAAACTGTGGTAAAGCCACGCAGTGGAACACTCTGAGTCACCGAGGATGAGGCTGGTCTGTGGGTATTAAATACGTTCCTGACAAACTGGGGGTCCCGTTGTTTACACATCCTTATGTATCATGGAAGGTGCCAGAAGGTCTTACAGCAAAGGACTAGTGGGGCTAACTCTGAGGAGCAGATCATGGAAAAGGAAGATCTGTCATAAGATGCTGCACACTCTTAGGTATTTTTCTCAGCAAGCCTGTACTACTTTAATAATCTAACCCATTAACTGCCACGTGAGTTGTATTTAACTCATGCTAGTTTTGAGCCCGGGGCCCCATAAAGCATATGTAACTCACACATCTCTTCACTTTGGGAGCCACAAGAACTATTTTTCAAGTTGCATAGAACTCATGCACAGAAAACAAAAAATAACAAGTTTTTCACTAAATTGGAAAGGATTGTTTTAGTTTTTGAAGTTTTTATTCTATTTTCATAATAAAACACCATGGCCCCAAGGAAAAAAATTTTTTTTCTAATGTGGCAGTCAGTGTATAAAAAGCAACTGCACTGCTTTTTCTTTTTTTTTTTTTTTTTTTTGAGACAGAGTCTCACTGTGTTGCCCGGGCTAGAGTGCCGTGGCATCATCCTAGCTCACAGCAACCTCAGACTCCTGGGCTCAAGCAAACCTTCTGCCTCAGCCTCCCGAGTAGCTGGGACTACAGGCATGTGCCACCATACCTGGCTAATTTTTTATATATATTTTTAGTTGTTCGATTAATTTCTTTCTATTTTTAGTAGAGACGGGGTCTCGCTCTTGCTCAGGCTGGTTTCGAACTCCTGAGCTCAAACAATCCGCCCACCTCGGCCTCCCAGAGCCCCAGCCTGCACTGCTTTTTCTTAAAGGTTAAAAGAGTTGGAGGAGCTGGCAGGTGAGAGGCTCTGGGGACAGAGCCTCGTCCTGTGTTGGGGGCAGAGGCTTTGAATCACACACACCAGGGCAGGAACCCAGGTCCTCCATTATGAGCGTGGCCCTCGCCAATGCCTTCGGTTCTCCAAGTCTCAGTCTCCTCACCTTTAGGGGCTGTGTCCTGCCCACCTTGGGGGCCAGACAGGTGAGAGTCAATGATGGTGTCTAACACACCACAGATCTGAGCACCTGCTGGTTCCCTGCCTCACCCCCATGAGCTGTGACTTTGGCCTCCAGAGTCTCCTCAGGGACCCATAAGGACAGGGTACAGCCTCGAGCCCCAAAACAGCAAGAAGGCTCCACAGTTGCTGTACCTCTGACCTCCGGCAGTTCTGCACCATCTGTGCCAAGCACCTCCTCCTCACCCGCACGCACACAGGCCTTACCATTAGCTCTCAGCACCTGGGAAACTGAGGTGACAGAAACTCATTTGCCTGGGATCCCCCAGCTAGTTAAAGGAGCAGGGGTAGCTGGAGCCAGGGTTCACACTCCATCCCGTCCTCATTCCCTCCTGCTGTGATGACATCCATCCCAATCACATCTGAGAAAGAGAAAGATACAGTGTCCTTCCTCCTGGCCTCAGTGCCGCCTCTCACTCAGTGAGCACTTGGGGAGCATCTGGGCTGGGCCTGGCACTGGGCCGGGGTCGCTGTTCAGTGGTGGACAAGGCTGAGTTCCTGACCTTGGAGCCCACAGTCCAGGCAAATAGGACCCCAGAAGAAAGGAGGCTGCTTGGTAACCCAGCCCCAGATCCCCACAGAATTTGCCCTGACTTCAGAAGCTTCAGGGTGCCGGTTTGCCGGTGGGCTCTGCCAGTAGAGTAAATAGAGGGGTCTGGCCCCTCCTGGCTGCCCTCGCAGCCATGACAACAGCAGACCTCCAGCATGGAGACCAGATATGCAGCGGAGCTCTCGACCACACGCAAATTATGCAAGAAGGGTCAATAGTGTCTAATTGCTGAACCTGTAATCAAAGATGGTGACACTGATACTTAACTCTCTGGGTGACAGTGCTGGCGTTTACACGAAGTCCAAACATTCGGATAATGACGCAGTGTTCTCCTTAGCAAGACCGTGTCCTGTTGCTGTTTATCATAATAACATCGTTGGTTAGTAGTTATGAGCATGTAGGATATACGTGGGTAGTAGTAGAGCATGGTGGTTAAGAGCTCAGCTCCAGGAGCTGGATGGTTCTAGGCCATAATTCTCACTCTGCCACCATTAGGGTTCTCCAGAGAAACAGAACCAACAAGGGGTGTGTGTGTGTATAGAGAGAGATGTTTTAAGGAATTGGCTCACACAGTTGTAGGGGTGTCGAGTCCAAATTTTGCCAGGCAGGGAAGGTGATGTTGCAGCTAAAATCCAGTGACTGTCTGGGGCTAGAATTCCATCTTCCTCAGGGTGGGGGCTGGAGTGGGGCTCACTCTTTTTTCTTAAGACCTGCAACTATTGGATGAGGCTTACACACATTATGGAGGGTCATCTGCTTTACTGAAAGTCTGATTTAAATGTCATCACATCTAAAAAATACCTTAGCAACATCTAGACTAGTTTGACCGAAAACTGGGTACCGTGGCCTAGTCAAGTTGACACAAAACCATCACAGCCGCTGTCACCAAGTTCCTTACTCCTCTGAGCCTCAGCTTCCTCGCCTGCAAAGTAAGAGAATGAAGACCTCCTTGAAGGTTTCTTTTGAGGTTTACATGAGATTAATGGAGGCAAAGTGCCTGGCGCACAGTGAGCATGCAGTGAAAAGAAGGTGTTATCGGACGAACACGAAGCCTGGTTTAGCTTCAAGTCCCAGTTCCACCGGGTGTCAAGCAGGTGACCTTGGGTGGATCCAGTAACCTCACCGAGCCTCAGTTTCCTTCAGGTGGTGGTAATCACTGTCTTCCAAGGTGATAATGAAATGCTACACATGTAAAGACACTGACATACTTGGCATTCAGTAGGGGCCTAATAAATGCTGGGCCTTTCCCCTTCCCTTCCCGGTGAAGGGAGGCCCTTGGGAGACATTTGGGAGGTCGAGTGGGCAGGCCAGCAGGGTGGGGCTCAAGAGGGCATTGAGAGGCAGGGCTCAGGGCCCAGAGGATGGCCCCTCAGGTGAGCAGTGGCAGGGAGGCAGACGGGAGGAAGGGCTAGGCTTGGAGACAAACCCTGCACCGGGCTGCAGGGAGAGCAGCCATGCAGGGGGACGGCCCTGGGCACTTCTCCCATCAGCATGCCCGAGGGCACCGAGGCAGGGACTGCCGCTGGCAGGAAGGGCCTCTTGGAACCCAGCCTCCCACTCGATCAGGACTCCTGCTTGCTCCCCTTCTGACCAGCAGGTCATGGGGGAGGAGGATGGCACCTTCAGAACCTGGTCTCTAGAATGGGGAGAATTCTGCCATCATTACTTTTGGGTAGGTTGTGATGGGGATTTGGGGATAAACCCTTAAGCCAAGTGGTCAGCCAGGAAGAAACAGAACCTTTATCTTTGGAAAATCCACCCACAAACTACTACCACGTCAGTATCCTCAATATCCACACACCCCAGCTAAAACCTCCCCTGTAGGACACATACTTTCCTGCCCCAGCCCAGCCCACATCTCTCCTGCCTCGCTCTGCCTGTGTGTCAGTCACTGTGGTCTCTTATTCCCCTCAAATAGGGTGAGGGATGCACTTTCCCATTACCCTGCCACTGTGGGTCCTCGCAGAGGCCTCCCTGATGCTCCCAAGTTAGGCAGCTCACACCCGTTTACCACTCAGGGTGGGACTTCCCCAGAGGGCCCTGGCCCTCACTGCCCTGGGCCTGTTTCTTCCCAGCCCACTTAGCAACTCATTCCCAACGGGGACCCTCTGGACACTTGCCGAGTCTCTCTTCACAGTCCACAGCTCTGTGTACCTCGAGTGGCCAGTGGGGTTCAGGCCTCTTGGCTTTTTCCAGGGCTTCCGGAGGTCCCAACACACCTGGGCCATAGGCCAGCAGCAGGACAGGAGAGGCAAGAGGAGAGTAGGTCTTGTTCTAGGGGCTCTCCTGGCCTCACATGCACAGACCACCCCCCACCACCACATTGGGTCTCTGTGAGGCCACTGGCGAAGAGCGGCGCATAACCAGGAGAAGGGGGAAGCATGGCACCTGCCTGTGGGGGCACACAGCTGGGAACTGCAGAATCGCAGCGCCCTAATCAGCAGCACCCTAAATGCTGATGTATTTGCGGCACTTCCAAGTGGGGAGAGCTCTCTCTGTATTAACTCCTCTGCTTTTCACCGTGACTCTCTGAGATACTGCTACCATGTCCACCTTACAGAGGAGGAAGCTGAGGCCCGGAGGCCAGAGCTAGGATTTGAGCACAGGACACATGGCTCTTACCTCAGGACCACTAGCTAGGACATGGTGGAGCCAGGATTTGAACTCAGGCCGCGTAGCTCCTCAGTCATGTTCTCACCCACCGTGCCTGCTGTTTCTAAGCACCTGGAAGCCAACTTGGAAGTCGTCCCGAGTGCTCACCTTTCTTTGAGCTCAGAGAGAGGGTCGGTCACCTTCCCTGACAGCCACTTGCACAGGTGATGGCTCCTTCTAAAACCCTGCACCACTTACCTGCCCCTCCCTGGCGTTGCCACCCTCCATCTTGCATTCTAGTTTTCTTATTTCTTTCTTGTATCAGCTGTTTGAGGGCAGAATTTGGGTCGTGCCCCGCACACAGCAGGTGCTCATCAAATGTCTGTTGAATGAACAGAGAGGCTGGCAGTGCCAGCAGCAACCAAATCACCAGACACCTGCTGACCTTCCAGGGCCGTGAGGGAGAACAAGGAAGACACCCCCAGGGGATACGAATAATCTGAGGTGATGGGTCACTGATGCAGCGGTGGCGGTGGGCCCCAAGATCCAGCCGGAACGTGAGCAGAGATGTGCTGAGTCTAGCAGAGGAAGGAGACATGTAAGCCACAAAAACAACACTGGTTACCAGAAGTGCCACGAAGCGACCATGCGCAGACTGCTGGGGTTAAAGGAGGAAGTGCAGGAAACCTGCGCCCCAGCGTCTGTGCAGGTCTCCACAAAGGGTTTCTCCCAGCAACTGGTGCTGTGGGTTTTCTTGTCCCTGCTATAATGCCTCCAGGAGCGGCAGGTCCTGCCCAGCCCCCCAGCCAGTTGGTGCTGAGGCCAGGACACGCAGGCAGCTTGCGGACTGCTGACTGTGCAGAGCCAGTGCCTGCCGGCTGCGAGCCCAGCACCCCGCACAGCTCTCGGTGCTGGACCACAGCAGTGCCCCGCTGGACACGGTTCCTGCCCTTGTGGCTCTTACGTCTAGTGGATGGCGCCCAGCAATGTGCAGACACACACATAGGATACGTCAGACAGTGACAAAGGCTACTGAGGAGGCCAGAGTGGCTTCACGTTCCCAGGGCACAGCTTTGCCCTGTCAGGCCCAAGAGATCTAGGGAGCCTACTCTCCCGTCTGTGAGCCGAGGGGGCCAGCTTTACTCCCTGGAATGACTGAAGTTGGAGCTAAGGCGCCAGGACAGGACAGGATGTTTTCGGAACCAGGACTTGTATCACCCCTAAACTCTCCAGCCAGGAGGGGAACAGGCCACTGGGTCCTCTGTCACAGTCGGGTGCTACTTGTACCCCCCGCCTCCTGTGGCCAGGATGGCGAAGGGAGGTTTCCTGCTGCTACTCCTGTGACCCAAAGGGGACCTGGAGGAACAGGGGGAGAAAAGTGGGGGAGGGACGGAGTGCACTCTGGACAGTAGTGGTGGTGGTTCCTACCGTGGTGGGGAAGTCAAGGTCATTTGGCCCATGTTGCAGGGAGGTGGCACAGCAGGCAGGGAAAATGCTAGTCTGGGTTCAGTGCCGTGCCCTGCGTCTCCTGAGGTGCCTCCTGTTGGAAGCGGCTGCTTCTCTGGTTTGGGGATCTGGCACCTGCTCAGGCATCAGAGAAGGGCGCGGAGACGGAAGGCCATCACAGCAGAGGCAGGACGGGCAGCACGGGGGGTCGTGAGACTGGCACGGACTGGACGCGTGGAAACCAAGGTTCAGTCAGGTCCCCTTTCCAAGGGGAAGAGCTCGTTTCTGAGTGTCCAAAGGAGAGAGTCACAAGGGAATCCCAGCGGTGCTTTCTAAGTCTTAGCACAGCACGTATGTCCTGGGGTCTTAGCCATAGCCAGCTGCTTTCCTTGCTGATGTCCTCAACACCATGGTTCAAACATCTGATATTTAATAGAAAAAACTTGGAGAAATTCAGTGAATTTGAATATGAATGCATACGACTGACACCTACACTCTTTCTGCTCAAGCAAGAAGTTCCGTGGGGATTCGTGCTGCTTGAGAGTCCTTCGCCGCGTTCCCGGAGTCCACGCAGGAATAGGACTTCCCGGGGGGCGGGCCGCGCAGAGCTCCGCGCCTCTGCAGTTTCCACAGGGCGCGTTTCACACAGCTCCTCTTGGGCTCGCACAGTGGCAGCCTCGAAACCAGGATAGCTGCTTCCCAGGAGTGTCCAGAGATTGTCTGCTCCGGCCCCCTTGCCGCCCTCCTCCCCATGGCTGAGTTCAGCCCAGGTAGTAATGGCTGCCATGTATCGGACGTCTGCTGTGTGTCAGGCTATGAAATGCTTTGGAGACTCTGCCTGTCCTCCCAGAGAAGCTGTCATTTACCACATGTTGTAGGTGAAGAAACTGCTCCTCAGAAAGGTTGACTCCCTGAAGCCACACAGCTCTTAGGTGGCTGAGCCGAGAGCTGTGGGGCTCTTCCCACCCCGGCTCCCAGGCCTAGCAGAGAGTGAAGCCGCCCTCCGTCGTGTGTCCGCAGACCTCTCCCAGAGCTCACCACCCTCGCTGCTGGACCAGCTGCAGATGGGCTGTGACGGGGCCTCGTGTGGCAGCCTCAACATGGAGTGCCGGGTGTGCGGGGACAAGGCCTCAGGCTTCCACTATGGTGTTCATGCGTGTGAGGGGTGCAAGGTACGGACTGTGGGGCGGGGGCTGGCCACTGGAGGTCATGGTCACATGGGGAGTTGACCTGCCACAAAGGCTTTGCCCAGCCAGGGCTGGGGCCCTGACAGTACCCACTGCAGAATTCCTGCCCAGGAGGCAGCCAGGCCCTTGACCCTGTTCGAGGCCTCAGCTCTGGGCCCTGCAGGAGAGGAGGGGTTCCCTTGTCAGACCTGCCCTGCTGGGCACGTGCCGGGCTGACGCAGGCCCTCACTTGGGCTCTGTGGGCGGTGGCGCCCCCTGGGACCAGGCTCTGGAAGGCAGGCAGGACTGAACGAGGGTCTTGGGCTGAGCGTCTTCCTGCCTGAGGCCAGAGTCTCCTGTGTCTCAAGGCTTGAAGCGGACGCTGAGAAAAAAGGAAGCCATGACATTTCCTTTTCCAGTGATCCTTCTAAGCCCTGCCTCCTAACTTCACACCATCCAAATTTCACAAATTATTTTATTAAACCACCACCTGGAAAATACACAGAACCAAATACATTTATGAACAAATCAAGTTAACCATGATACAGTTTTATGTTACCAAACTAACAAGCTTTAAGACTTCTTTAGGCATTGAAATAAATCATTTAAGGATGATTTTAATTATTTTAGAAGTTTTAGAGTTATTTACTTTTCTTCTCCATCTCCCCTCCAGAAACTTTCCCACTATTTCCAAATTTTATGATAATTAGGCCCTTGGGCATGACCCCGCGGGCAGAGCAGGATTCTCAACCTCTCTCCTCGCCTGTCCCCGGTCCCTCAGGGCTTCTTCCGGCGGACGATCCGCATGAAGCTGGAGTACGAGAAGTGTGAGCGGAGCTGCAAGATCCAGAAGAAGAACCGCAACAAGTGCCAGTACTGCCGCTTCCAGAAATGCCTGGCACTGGGCATGTCACACAATGGTGAGAGTGACCAGGGCGAGTCGCATGGGTGCTGGCTTCACGTGGCCTGAAAGCAGGTTCAGGGAGCACCCAGTGCAGCCCGGAGCGGGCAACCTTAGCGCGGTGCCTGGCACCCAGTAAGCACTGGGTGTCTGCTGTTGACTTTGCCGATCTGGACCCCAGGTCTTGGAGCCTGAGACCTGCCGCTTGCCCAGACTGCCCGGCATCCACTGGGGGCCCCAGGCTTGGGGCAGTCACTAGTAAGTGGCCACATGTCAGTTGCCAGGAGCCAGGCAGGAGTTTCTTAGAGACCAGCCACTCCCAGGGGACAGAGCCTTCTCTGCCCTGTGCTCCAGGCCTCCCAGATTCTTGTCTTCAGACCCCTAGGGTAGGATGTTGCAAAGCCCACCCCCCGCCACCTTACCCCTCTGGGTTGGAGCCAGAGAATAGGGAAGAGCCTCCTGTTTAATTATTTCTATGGATGGGTCAGCTGCTTGGCCAAACTTTTACCCAGGGATGCCTTAACTGTCTTGTATCTTAGAGGGTGACAGGACCCAAGCCCCCTTCATCTGTGGCTCTTCCTGGCTGATAGGGACTGACAGGTCTGGGGTTTGATCCTTCCCCTTCAGTCTGTATCTGCCCTAACCCCATTCCCTGGGTGGCTCCAAGGGATTTCCTAGGAAATCTCAGGGCTGACGGAATCCTTCCCCTCGCTCCTACTCTGAGAGAAGCCGCATTCATATCCTGCTAACTGCTGATGACAATTTTGAGTACTTGCTATGTGAGTACTCTTGTATAATTATTCCAACAACACAGTAAGTTCTAAGGAATATTAGCCTCATGTTTCTGATTATAAAAGAAAGGTGAAATAGCCTGTCCAAAGCCACGCAGCTAGTAAGCTGCTGAGCTGGAACTCAGGCACAGGCCTTTGTCACCCAATACTGTCATCCCCACCTCCACACTGCACTGCCTCTCAGCCAGAGTAGCTCAGTCACTTAATTAGGGCCCCATGTGCAGGGCACTGTGGACCAGGCAGACAAATCCGCGCCCTTGTGGAGCTTGCGTTCTCGGGGGCCCGTGCAACAGTCCCACCTTGCCGACTCTAGAGCTTCTGAGGACCCTGGGCTCAGGAAGGATAGATAGGTCCGCTTCTGCCCCTGCACCTGTAGAGGGATGGGGAGTTTAGAGGTGCTGGCCCTGCCTGGGCTCCTTGACTGTCCCTGCTCCCTGTGCAGCCATCCGCTTTGGCCGGATGCCAGAGGCAGAGAAGAGGAAGCTGGTGGCGGGGCTGACGGCAAACGAGGGGAGCCAGCACAACCCCCAGGTGGCTGACCTGAAGGCCTTCTCCAAGCACATCTACAACGCCTACCTGAAAAACTTCAACATGACCAAAAAGAAGGCCCGCAGCATCCTCACTGGCAAAGCCAGCCACACGGCGGTGAGTGTCACTGCTTGGCCTGGCAGCATCCTGGGCTCTGGGCCCTGCTGCTGCCTTGCTGACTCCGGGGAGAGCCAGGCCTCCTCACTCCCCTAACTTCATGGTACAGGCAGGAGCTGTGGGGAGCACAGGGCGGGGGTCCCCTGAGGCCTCACCTCTAACAGGGCCTGATTTTCAGCCCTTTGTGATCCACGACATCGAGACATTGTGGCAGGCAGAGAAGGGCCTTGTGTGGAAGCAGCTGGTGAACGGCCCGCCACCCTACAAGGAGATCAGCGTGCACGTCTTCTACCGCTGCCAGTGCACCACGGTGGAGACCGTGCGGGAGCTCACCGAGTTCGCCAAGAGCATCCCCAGCTTCAGCAGCCTCTTCCTCAACGACCAGGTGACCCTTCTCAAGTACGGCGTGCATGAGGCCATCTTCGCCATGCTGGCCTCCATTGTCAACAAGGATGGGCTGCTGGTGGCCAACGGCAGTGGCTTTGTCACTCGTGAGTTCCTGCGAAGCCTCCGCAAGCCCTTCAGTGACATTATTGAGCCCAAGTTCGAGTTTGCCGTGAAGTTCAATGCCCTGGAACTTGATGACAGTGACCTGGCCCTGTTCATCGCAGCCATCATCCTGTGCGGAGGTGAGTGAGGGAGGGCAGGTGGGCCAGCCCCACACAGCCGGTCCCCTGGGGGTTGGCCTCGCTGCAGGGCATCAGGCCTGAGTTTAGACAGCAGGAGGACGTGTCCACGTGGTGACAGCAGTGGCACACGCAAGGAACTGCCTGAACACGCAGGATAAGCTCCGTCTCGTGACGTCAATAGATGGAGGTAGCGATAGAAAAACACCGCAAAGAAATAGACCCTCTAAAGGGGGCTATTTCTGAATAGTAGAGAAATTTTTGATACTTTCCATGCATTTTTCAAGTTCTGACACTAACAGTGGCACAGGGACTGTTCTAGTTCCTTTTCATGGCTTGTAACTCCTTTGATCCTCACACCACCTTGTAGAAGAGGTGCTTTTACTATCCCGTTTTACAGATGAGGAGACTGGAGCCCAGAGAAGCCAAGTGGCCTGCCCGTAGCCTCACCATAGTCTGTGGCAGACACGGGATTTGAGTCCAGGCATCGAGTCTCTTTCTACTCAGGGGAAGAAACTACTGCCAAAAACAAAAGAAGTGGGCCAAGACCAGGGGCAAAGGGACCAGAAAACTCTGGAGCCATCACTGACAGGACAGGGCTCTGTCACAGCCAAGGAGGCCTGCTGTCCTCTGGGCCAAGTCACCACGCGGGGGGGCAGGGGGAGCTCCTCTGCCTCTCTGAGCCCCTCACGTGCCCTGTGTCCCCGCAGACCGGCCAGGCCTCATGAACGTGCCACAGGTAGAGGCCATCCAGGACACCATCCTGCGAGCCCTTGAGTTCCACCTGCAGGCCAACCACCCCGACGCCCAGTACCTCTTCCCCAAGCTGCTGCAGAAGATGGCCGACCTGCGGCAGCTGGTCACCGAGCACGCCCAGATGATGCAGCGCATCAAGAAGACCGAGACGGAGACCTTGCTGCACCCCCTGCTCCAGGAGATCTACAAGGACATGTACTGAGGGGCGGCGCCCGGGCCTCCCTGCAGGCTCCAGTGGGGCCAGCGTGGAGGGGCCGCATGTGACTTTTCTGTTGACCAGCCCACGAGCACACGGCCTGGCCTGGGGCAGCGGAACCACGGCCTCTGGCTCCCTGTGCTCCTTCTCCCTCTCCCTTCCTCACCCAACTCTTCTGTCTTCGTGGTCTCTCTCTCAGTTCCTCTTTCTCGTCTAATTTCCCTTGTTCTTTTTCTTCCTTTCTCTTCAGGTTTCCCTCTTCCTTCCTCCCTTGCCCTCCCTTTCTCAGTCCCCACTCCCATGTCTGTCCCTCTTTCTCATTCTGTGAAACAGTTTGTATTATTTCACCAGCAGCATAGAACGGGACCTCTGCTTTTGCACACCTTTTCCCCAGGAGCGGAAGGGAGTGGGGCCGCCATCTGCCCTGTCACTGCGCCTGCAGGCTTAGGGCCTCTCTTCTGTCTCCTGTCTGCACAGCAAAAGACTTGAGCCATCCAAAGAAACACTAAGCTCTCTGGGCCTGGCTTCCCCGGGAAGCCGAGCATGGCCTGGACTGATGGCAGCAGCCTAGTCATGGGCCCCTGCCATGGAGGACAGTGGGCAGGGGCCTAGGCTGAGAGCCGACACCTCCCCCAGATTGTCACTGCCCCTCTGAGGCTGCCCCCGTCCCCCGACCCAACCAGCTCTACTGTAGCAGCACCCCCAGCCCTGCTGGCACCCAGCATCCTTCCATTCTTCACACTGGTTTCCCAGGCCAGTGTCGCTGATGGCCCCTGCGCTGGCCGCTGCGGGGCAGCCCCCTGGCCTGGAAGGAGGCAGGGTCCCTCCCGGTGAGGAGACCCCGTGCCCCTGTCGAAGAGGAGCAAGTCTCGAGGGAGGGAGGTGGAGGTTGGTGGTTGGAAGCATCAGACTTAAATCTGCCCCCAGGACTGGGATGGTGAGTCCCGGGGTGACAGGCCAGGGAGAGCTTGGGGCAGGCCCTCCACGCGACCCTCTTTTCTCTAGCCAGCTCAGCTGAAGCTCAGGCCCCCACACACTCCCTGGAGCTGCGCCTCCAGCCCCCACCGCAAGCACTGAAATCACTTTACCTGCAGGTTCTGCGCCCCCCGCTCCCTTCCCCGAGGCAAGTGAGTGCCCAGAGAGAGGCCTGCAGGTGGGCAGGCAGAGCTGCGCCCCTCTGCCCGGGGCCCGGCCGGATCTCTGGGTGGGCATGGGTGTCCTGTTGAGTCGCCCGGCACCCACTCACAGCGGGAGCTGCCAGGGATAAACTGATCCTGTTCCTTCTGACATCCTTTGTCCCCACGGCTCTGCTGCCCTCCCCTTCCCCTGTATTCAGCCCAGCTGGTCACCTGAAACTCGCCTGCATAGCCTCTGGTGACCAGGGACCTTGCCGAGCGCAGTTCCACAGCTCTGGCCCCTGGCCTCCCCGGCTCCCAGGTGGAGGTGCGCTCGCCTCAAAGTAGAGGCTGGTGCACAACCTGGAGTGCCGAGTCTGAGCCTACCCGGGCTGCAGGGTGAGGGACTGGCTGGGGTCTCGGAGCAAGGTGGTGGGAGACCTGGGTCCTGTCTGCTCCTTCCCAAGGAGCCGTCGCGTCTGACTGCGGCTCTGGGGGGAAATGCCCTGCTGCCCCTCCAGCGCCGTGGCCTTCCGTGGCCCAGGATCAAGCTGTCCTGGCGCAGTTCTTCCCTCTGCCCCCACCTGGTTGGGGGTGCTTCCTTTCAGGCCAGGCTGCGAAGGGAGAGCGGCTGTGCCTGCCCTCCCCTCCCCGACCCAGCTCCGGTGCTGAGGATCCAGCTCTTCTCAGTGTCTGAACAATCTCCAAAACTGAAATGTATATTTTTGCTAGGAGCCCCAGCTTCCTGCGTTTTTAATATAAATAGTGTACACAGACTGACGAGACTTTAAATAAACGGGAATTAAATATTTAGGAGTTGACTTTAGACTGACTCAGTCCTTTGCATGTTCTTCCTGGGGCTGACTGGATCCCTCCCCTGCACATCAGTGCACGGAGGGGACCGGGCTGGGCAGGGGGGCGTCTGGGGTCCTGCGGGTCCTTCCCCTCACCTGCTCTGCTCACGGTGTGGCAGCCCGCGGGGCTGCGGAGGACTGAGAAGGCGCTATCCCTCCCCTGCAGAGAGAGTCCCAGGGATGAGGGGAGAGGACACGCGCACTCAGAAGGCTGTGTGGCGCCCTGGCGCTCATGGGGCGGAGTGCGCGGGGGTCTGGGAGGGACACGAAGGCCCCCGGAGGCGGCAGCGCGCCCTGGGCAGGCCTTGCACGGTACGCAGGACTCGATCACCAGAGCCAGACTGTCACCCCCACAAGAGGTCAGGGCTTTCCTCACCTTAGCTAACACCCCGGTGTCCTTTACTGTCAGGGGTGCCATCTTCACAGGCTCCGCCGAGCCCAGCCCCGCAGCAAGGGTTTGTTCGCAGCGTGAGGCCCGGTCAGGGTATGTTACGGGGTGTGTGTTTGCCTAGTCATGAAAACAAAACCTGCTAAATACTTCCAGGTGGGGAACTTACTCCAGGGAATTGTTACGAAAGCGTTGAAAGTACCGAAAGATCAACAGGGGGGAACTGAAGTCAACCGGAGATGATCAAGTGCGGGAGCCCATCTCACTTCCAGGGCTAGACGGGCAAATAGTGTCATTCAGGGGCCACCGTGCTAGAACACGCACTGAAATCACCTGCCGCCTTAACTGCAGAGCCAGAGTTCACAAAGCGACTGCGTAGGGGACTGCTAGAGTGCCCGCGGCCACCGCGCTGCTGCCCCTGGACCCCCGCCGCCCAAGCAAGAAGCCTGCAGCCGGAACTCAGCTGCTCCTGCCAGTTGTGCCATGGAGTTTGGGGTGGGGGTGCAGTCCTTCCTTCTCTTTCAGTCTGTCGCCGAAACCTCCCGTTGGAGGGTGTGGGGACCAACTGTACGGCAGTCCAGGAGGTGCAGTTTGCAGACTCCTCACCCCTGCAGTACAGGGGAGCGTAAGCAAGGGTAGGAAATGAGGCAAGAGCCAGCGGGCAAACCACCTAGCACCAAGTACAAACACCAGCCCCAAGGTGAGGGATCCCAGGCAGGCTTATGGTGATGGTCACACATGACACTTGCCTCTCTGTTTTCTCTCTTTGCTGGTCAGCTGGGCAGAGCAATCTGAACTCCCAGGTCCTATGTGGTTCATCTCAGCCAGACGACTGCCCAGGGGAACAGGAGGAAAAGAGGAGGAGGCACAGAAGGAGTGCTTGGAACAGGGGCCTCTCTGATACTGGGATGATCCTTGTAATGGAATCTGATACTTGTAATGGAATCTTCTGGTTTACTTGGTTTATTTTTCTCATCTCCCTATCCTTTCCCACACTATCAAATGGGAGAAAAATAGTCAAAGGCTATGTCTCAGTTAAAGGCCCATCCTCTCCCCAGCACGGAAGAGGTAAGAATATAGGATATCAAATAACTATTTAATAGATCTCACTCAGTGCAGAGAGCTGAGGCTAAGGACCAGTTTTCAGTTGTTACCTGGCTTCTGCAAAGGGCATCGTGTCACTCTGTGCCTGTTATTACTATCACCAATTGCTATCCTTTATTAAGCAGCCATCGTGTGCCATGCATCACCGCGAATCCTTACCACAACCCTCTAAGGTAAAAATTACCACCTGCCGTTTTACAGGCAAGGAAGCACATGAGAGACCAGGGAGTGTGCCTGCGGTCACTCAGCTAGGAAGAGGCTTGGCCAGAATTCCATCCACAGCCTTAGGATCCCTGCTTTGCCCCCCGTGAGCAAGGCCTTGGGGACAATAGTTGGTCACCTGGCCTCTTTTTAATGATGCTCAGGACAAATGAATCAAGCATAAAAAAGAAGGCAATCTTAAGAGAATGAGAAGATACTATCTTTGCAATAATTCTGTAAGCTTAAAATTATTCTGAGTTTATTTTTAAAAAAGAAAGAAAGGGGGAAAAGAGGGTTGGTAATATCCCTGGGAAGCCTTCCTAGAGGCCACTTACAGCCAGTACAGGATTTCCACAAAATTGCAGACTGGAAGAACAAGCCTGCGTGAAATAAATAGATGTAACCAGTGAAATTGGGGCCCCAGAACTTCGAAAAATATGAAACTATCGACTATTGTATAGGAAGTAAATGTTTTATATTATTAAGAAATATAAACAAGAAATCAAAACATAAGAAAGGAATAGTTTGCTTTGTAAGAGGGAAAAAAACATTTTAAAAGGAGTGCCTGGAACATCTATAAAAAGTAACCCTCAATGAGTTAAAAAACAGAGTAGACACAGGCAGAGATCATTTTCGCACCTCAAGAAGGTTCTGTAGAAGTCCGGAAAATAGCCCAGGGAGGCCACGACATAGAAACCATGGAAAGGAAGAAGGCAGTGAAAATTCTCATACACTGCAGAAGGGAGACGTTGGTACTGTCCAATCAATTTGAAAAACAATTGGGGAAAATCTAGCAAAGATGCCCACACTCTGTTACCCTGCATTTTCCTATTAAGATGCACCTGTGGGTGCTGTGGGGCACGGCCCAGCTGCCACCTCTCAGGACCCAGGCACTCATTGCCACGTCTGGGGAGCTGAGTTCACAGCTGAGTTCCTCTCAGGGCACTGCCCTTGCCAAAGGAGGCTGCCTCACCCAGTGGCATGCACACCCCTCCTCAGGGCAGCCTGCGTCCAATCTGGGAGTATGAAGGCCAAGCCTTCTTGCCCCAGTTTGGGACAACTGGAAGGATCATCCTAGCTTCAGAGCTGAGGCTTCTCTTGTAACTATGTTGCATTTTAACTTCTCCCTCTACTCAATCCTGCTTCCTTCAATTCCTTACAGGTGTTGCTTCAAAGCGCATTCCCCAGGGAGTATCCTACACGTAAACCTCCAAATCTATTTCCTAGAGAACCCAACCTGAGACAATACCCTACAGTGAAACCCACCAAGTTACACCAAGACTTATATACATGTTCATCAACTCACTAGCAGAAACTTGGAAACAACAAAAACATTCATGAACGGGAAAATGGATAAATAAACTTGACATATGTATACAATATAAAGAAAAGGACCTAGAAGAAACACATTAAAAAAAATTTATATAATTTTGGAGTGGATAGACCTTTCTAATATACGTGAACTTAGAGTCTGTAAGATTAAAAAAATGAAAAAATTTCACAACATACATTTTTTAAATTACTGCATGAATAAAACACCATAAAGAAAAAATTTTAAACCGACTGTGCAAAAATTTTTCTGGCATACTCAGACAATGGACTAGTTTCCTTAATATATAAAGAGCACTTATAAATCAATGCATAAAAGGTCAAC